AATTGTGTGTTCATTTTGGCGTGGCCCTACCTTTAGTTGGAGCGGGGATCTAAGGTACGAGTTGCTCTATGTGAAGCTCAATCCGTGCTTCATTTGCACGGCATCGATTAGCACAATAATATGAAAACAAACCGTTCGTTCATCGCATCTTAGGCTTTGTTATGGATCGCCCATCTTCCGGAAGCGGATCTACGTGATAATGATCCGGGACGGCGTTCTTTCTGATGAGGCCAAGAATACAGGAGACATTGGTGATTATATCAAGAGCAAGCTGGATTCCATGAAAACACAACCCACATGTTCTTGGTTTCTTGTCTTGTTTTTGAGTGGTCATCAAGTTGTCAAGGCAGTGATGCGTTGGTTCATGGTCTCCCCAACCGCAACCCATTCCCACTCGCTGAGGATTGACCTATTGCTTCCATCTGAACATCCTGCAGTTGTCAGGGACAAGCGCAAGCGTCAATCTCGAAAGGGAAAACGCAAGTATCTTGGAGAATACATATCAGTCTACTTAAAATGAAACACTGTGCCACTTGTTCAGCTGATATAACTATGAAAAACCTGTTTGAAGCACTTTTGAGGCCAATTAACAAGAATGCAAAGTGGATCCAACACCACCGCGATTGGGCAAAAGAGAAGAAGGTGAGAAGTGTGTGTGTGTGTGTTTGTGTTTTCTGTTCTGCAAGAAGTCTAACTTGCTTGTTCACCTATTTGTTGCAGGTCAGTGTGCGGAAAGTCAACTCTGAGAGACTCTTTGCCAAGAAGTGCCCGGCTGCAGCGGCACAGCTGACCAGTTACAGAGAAGCGGAGGCTAAGTCACGCTAAACCTACCAAGTTGTGAACTGATATTGTGGAACCCTTGGGGCTACATGTTTTGATTTGTGTGTTCGACCCGTAGGCTCTGAACTTGCTGGCTGCCACTCATACAGACTTGAGTGTCGTGAACACTTCGCAATCTTTGGGTCATATGCAAGTCATCAAGGCGGATAGTGATGCATTGCCATGCCTAACGCCAGCTGGACTCAATCAGCTGCTGCATACTTTTACCGCCTTTGATTCATTGGATTCAGATTCAATTGTTGTATGACTGTGTTTGGTTTTTTTCCTGCGCTGTTATGCTATGCGGACTGAGGCCATGTGGCATATCCAGGTGGTGTGTCCTTCAAACGACATGCAAAAAGTTTCTCCGACCAAGCTTCATGATTCGCGAAAGACATGATGTTGCCTTGCTCCAGTGCCAAACCCCTGCGAGTCAAACAATACTTCACCTGCAAGTCAGTGGATGCTTCACAAGGGACGACCGAGTCGCGTTTGGCCAACTTGAGGTTTCCACCTGCATCGAACGAAAGCGTGTTATCTTTCTTAGTGGAAGTGACAATCTCGCGCTCTCTAGATACACATGTTTCCCAAGAAAGGTGCTTGAGGCGATCAGCTTCGTAAATGGCAACGGCTGCATCAATCAAACTATCCCCTGGCTCGAGTTGTCCGGAAATGGTGATGCCACGAAGTCTGGTCTGCTGCTCGCGGTATCGTTCCGCTCGTTCTGCAGGAGGCAATTTTGTAACGGGCACTTCATCACTTTGTTCCACCATGGACTTCATCTCCGCTGAAGTTGCAGCATATGCTTCGTTGAACAACCTGCGAAGACCCGCCAACTCACCTAGAGTGGGATCACGTTTCAGTGCCTGTTTGACTAATTCCAAAAATAGCTTGTCATCCGAGCTACCTGGAACATATGCGGAGGCGAATGCATAATTTCCCAATGTGCCTATGCCAGCATCTTTCAAAAGTTTCTGCACTTCTTCTGAAAGTCCAATTGCGCTCGCCCGGCTCTTGAACACCGCTTCAGAATCGACCACGGACATGGTCGCTCCCTGAGTGAACAAAAGTACATGCGCGTGTTTTCCATGTCACATGAAACGGGAAAACGGTAAACATCAGACATTCTTTTGAGAACTCTCATATGTGTGGTTCCTATATACATGTCACATCATGACATGATCATGCATCCACATCGACACTCGCTCCATTGAGCCTCAACCGTACATCACGATGTCATGGTTTCCATCGAAACACATGCGCTTGACTGCACTTGACATTTCAAGCAAACAAATTGCGTTCAATCATGACGAAGAAAAAAAATTGAAAGAGAACGCACATAAGAACCGACGAAGACATCTCTTCGGATCACATGAAACGTCAATGTCTCCAGGATCTGAGAGTTCATCGTGAAAAATCGAAATGAAGCAGGCCCTCGCCTTTTTCACTCATACCGCGTGCGTCATCCACGCATGCCACGCTCACATGCTGAGCACATGGGGTGGAGGAATTTGGGCTTTCTCTCCAACCTTTCATAAGATCCGGAGATCTTTCGACCGCACAGGAAATCGGTCCCGCTTTCATGCCTCAACACATGAATGCATCTACTGGTGGCATGTCGAAAATAAACTACGGCAAGCGACGAAGGACATGCAGGCCCATCACACTGCCAATCACCAAGTGCCTCATCTACGCAGCCTCCTCCTTCTCGAAATCACGCTCGTCCTCGTCTGCCGAGGATTCGCTCGAAGATGCCTCAAAGATGTCTTCGGGACACTGTTTCTTTTCTCTGCCATCTACATCAACAAAATACCCGGATCGAGTAGCGTCCGGACGAAAGCTTCCGCGCGCAACCTCGTCAAGCACTCTTTGAAGCTCTCTCAAAGGCCCACTCATCGCATCCCTGCTGTATGTGTAAACACTCTTGTCAGAAGATGACGTGTGATACCCAAGAGCCCTTCGAGTGACAACATCAAGACCATACTTGCTGCACCAGCTAAGCAACGTCGCCTTCAACGAGTGCGTACCCAAGCCGCCAGTCTCTGGACCGTCCGTGCCTTCGAGGAGACTCCTAAGCCACAAACTCGCGTTTCCCGCTCCCAGTGTGCAGCCCTTCGGATGCTCGCAGTCGCACCCAAGTCGAAGCCCAATCCGAACCAGCAACTGAGTTGATCGGAGCCGAGATCGGAAGGAACATGGTCTTCTTCTGAAGCGTCAAACTTGTCTTTACTCTGTTCGTCTGCGCCTCGATGAAACCAGGCTTCTTTCCGTTCACTACCACAACATCCAGCTTCAAATCTGTCACGTTGAGTGCATCGCTATATCTAGACCTGCTGTATGCCACGAAACAAAAGAAGCCTGCTGCAATCCTATCTTGTGGGGCTCGGCGTTCGTCCCCAACGATGTCTTCAAGACGTGTCAGCTGGGCCACACTCAACGGCGGTCTCTGCAAGAGATTCCTCTTTCTCACAAACCACGCATGACTCACGCCTTTCGTTCTTCCTGACATGGTCAAGTCGATCTCGCCCCTGAGTCCGAGCGCATGCCTGGCAAACGAGATCGAGACGAGGAGGCTCCTGGGGAAAGTAGGAGCAAAGTCATCTCGACTCTTCAGAAAAGTATACACTGCAGCTTCCATAATTGGCCACGCCTTCAAACCTGATTGATTGCAGAATGCCATGAATCTGAACAACGGATTTGCACGGCTTTGCCGTGTGCTCGAAGCCTTGGATGACAAAGCGTCTTTAATGCTCTCAGCCAACGGACACGGGTCGAACATCATCTTTCCACCCGAGAAGTGCCTAATAGCAATGTCCCAAGCAGAAGGTTCTGAAACCACTAATGTCGTCCATTTCCTAACAGCCGCCTTGCGTCCGGCAGAAAGTCTTTCGCTCCACAACCGTTCATCACACGATTTGAGGACTCTCAAGCCAGCCTTCTTGAACGCAGATTCGGAGAGATTGGCACAAAAATCACCCGTCTTGGCCCCCACTGCACGTGCAATAGGGATGAGTTCTTTCACAGGTTTAGGCACCTCAAACTTCTTTTCAACATTCTCCAAAGGTCCTACAAAGACATTCTCCCAAGGCATTCGCAAATTGTTTGAGAAAGTGTGTCTCGCGGCCTTCTGGCACGACAAAAGGTGCAAATGAAGTGACTCATCCCGTAGCGTTTCGGCATGTGATGTATCCGTGGTAGAATCCTGTTCGTTATCCCTAGTCCGCTTCAGAGGAAAATTCATCACTGACAGAGCTTAATGCCAAGGCCAATGGGGGCGTTGGCAGTGTATGCAGAAAGGCTAAACTGTTCGCTGTATGCAGTCACGGCCAGTGTGAGATCTGCACTGTCAAAGAATGTCACCAACAGGCAGCGGAAAAGGAATGTCTTGTGGGTGTCGGTCCCAGGCTTCTAGGGCAGCAAGACCCTTGCGACGCGCAGCGCACTCATGCAAAAATGGAAGGATTCTACCAACGGATCCCCACCTCCACAGCCCATACTGCGTCAGACAACATTTCGTGATACATCATTGAGTGAAACGTAGGGCGCATGAGAAATCATACACATGCGCATGTTCTTATATCGTTGATCATTATGGGTGAAATATAAAACACATACACATCCGCATGTATCACACATGCTCAAATCATCTCATGCATACGAGCGCCCATGCGACAACTCTTTGTCACATCATTTTTTGAACCGGTCGAGAACACACTCCCTGCTCTAACAGGACTATAAAGCGATATCACTACGTGACTTCAATCTTGTTATTTGTTCTATGAAATTTTGTTCTTTAACCGTGAGGTAAATTGATATATTTTGGGAGATAATTTGAGATAAGTTGATTCATTTATAAGTTGCATGTGTGTTTTAAAGGATTTCTTCATTTTCACATCTATTTTGCATTTTCCCCAATCTTTTCGCATTAAAACATTGTAGGAATCTCAAAACCCAATTCATTCCACTCAATCCTGAATACCATCAAAACGTATCCGATTGAAAACCCTTCTGTTTCAAGGGGCTGGATTCTTTCAGTGATACTAGTGATGGCCTCCAACTTACGAGCCATGGCCCTCCAACCTACTAGCAATGGCCTCCAACCTGCTAGCGGTGGCCTCCAAAGCAGGTTGAAAGGCGAAGCCGCTTAAGTTTCGAACAGCTAATTAGATCGTCCGAGTAGCACTGGCCCAGAAGCTTCCTTTGTGTGTTCAGCCAATTCGATCGCTCCTGACGTGTCTGTGAGGTTCGAGTTTGTCCGTCGATTTCTCGTCGACGTGTCCTCCCAAACATCAATGGAAAAGTAATCGACTGGCCTAAAAGAAAGAGGTCGAAAGAAAGACAAGTAAAGAAAAAGTAAAGTACTTAGTAGGAGCAAGGACGCTACTAGGGACTTCTGGCCTTACTACTAGTAACAAGAAGCTAGTAGAAACACTAAGTAAAAGAGAAGAAAAAGAAAGAAACACAAATCTTTGTGTGTAGATCGGTAGATCCGACCAGGGCCCGGGCTCTGGAAGACGAAGAGCTGTCCGCTCTTCTATTCGAAGAAATGCTTCACCAACTGAGCAACAAGAAGCTACTAGTAACAAGTGCCACGCTAGTAGTAACAGGTGCCTTGCTAGTAGTAACAAGAAGCTACTAGTAACAAGTGCCACGCTAGTAGTAACAGGTGCCTTACTAGTAGTAACAAGAAGCTATTAGTAACAAGTGCATCGCTTGTAGTAACAGGTGCCTTACTAGTAGTAACAAGAAGCTATTAGCAACTGTAACCCATGTGTAACAAATGTGCAATCGTTCATTCCTGGTAGCTTCTTTGTTACAGGTGCAACGATTCCCAATAGACATCAGTCACTGCAACACATCATGTGTGACACATGTGTCCCCTGAAGTTATCTTGTCAATCTCGTGTTCAAGTTGTCGGGTCTCGCGTGGCGAGCCAGCATCGAAGGAAACCAAGAAAATTTCAACAGCTTGAAAAGAAGTTTCAATTCTGTTTCTGGAGCACAAGCTGAAATTCTGTTCCCCATTGGAGCGCAAGCTGAATCCGAGAAAAAACGCAAGCTGAGCCTGGCAGCAAGCTTCTCAGTTCATCTTCTGTCAAACCTGGGTCGCTCAAAATGAGCTGTCCCGGTCGTCTGACCCATGTGACAGCGAATTTGTGATGAACCAACCAGAGATAAACAAGAAACGACTGTAAACGACTGTAAACGACTCAATGACATTGGAAGAAAAACACACTTTTCTTGCCAATTCCGCCAAGGCAAAAACCAGCCAAAGGTGGTGGAGGAAGACGAGGTTTTAAGCGTTTTGCCACATCTCCAGCCTGCAAATGATAGATTTTGGCCTTGACAACAACACAAATTGCAAATCACAAATCGCTAGCAGAGATAAATGCTTGCCTGATGCGAATCGATGCGCCATATTGCGCTCGGGAAAAAGAACCAAGCTGTAGGAATGGCGCTCCAATTTAATTGGTGGGAATTGTGCGAATGATCAGGTGTCCACAACTAGCAGAATCCAATGAAGTGCAAGTCAAGAAGGCTGCTGCTTTAGAAACCGAGAGAACCGATCGCAAGTCAAGTTGTGTTCCCAGGTGGCTAGCATTGCAATGAGCGACGGTATGTTTAGGCGCGTTTAATCCGAGCGGACTGTTGCTTGCACACTTGGATTGAAGAGCTATTTGCTGCCATCTTATTAGCTCCTGGCCTTACTAGGAGCAAGGACGCTACTAGGGTTACTAGGGGCTCCTGGCCGTACCACTAGGAGCAAGAAGCTACTAGCAGCCAAACAAATAATGCACCTCCTTTGTGAAGAGATGCGCGGATCTTGAGAGTTAGTGCCGCTGGGGCGGCAATAAAAACATCGCAAATGAAGGAACATAATATAACCCCGCATGCGCCTCCAACCTAATAGCGCTTGCCTCCACCTTGTAGCTTCTTGTTCCTAGTAGTAGGGCCAGGAGCTCCTAGTAGCTTCTTGTTCCTAGTAGTAAAGCCAGAAGCTCCTGGTAGCTTCTTGTTCCTAGTGGTAGGGCCAGGAGCTCCTAGTAGCTTCTTGTTCCTAGTGGTAGGGCCAGGAGCTCCTAGTAGCTTCTTGTTCCTAGTAGTAGGGCCAGGAGCTCCTAGTAGCTTCTTGTTCCTAGTTGTAGGGTCAGGAGCCCCTAGTAGCTTCTTGTTCCTAGTAGCAGGGCCAGGAGCTCCTAGTAGCTTCTTGTTCCTAGTAGTAAGGCCAGGGACCCCTAGTAGCTTCTAGTTCCCAGTAGTAAGGCCAGGGGCCCCTAGTAGCGTCTTGTTCCTAGTAGCAGGGCCAGGAGCTCCTAGTAGCGTCTTGCTCCTAGTAGTACGGCCAG